GTTTTCCAATAATATTTTATTACTGCTTCATGACTTCTTCTGTTAGATTTATCCCTAGTGTCTTATTATTGCTTTTTAAGTGGAAGATTGAAAGACTTTCACCTTCCAGCTGTTTGCTGTTGTCCTGTGAGAGTGTAATGAATGGTCTGCATTGATTTTTACGCTGACTATGCACCCAGCACCTTTGCTAACACCTCTGTAAACTGTAGCATTCGGATATCAGTTCTCTGGGAAAATGGTTTGTTCTTTTTAATACATATTATATGTATATATAATGCATATGAAAACTATCCTATCTATCTCTATCTATCTATCATCTATCTTCTACCCTTATTCTATCATTTATTTTCTTGTGCTTGTCTTAGAGACCTAACCACAGCCTCCAACACTGTATTATATAGTGTTGCTGACAGTGGATACCCTTAGCTTTAGTCCAGGGATACCGCTCTAAAGTTTCACTACTTATTGTGTTCTCTGGTGTAGTTGAACAGGAACTTTCCTCCCATTTTTGGATAGTTTAGGTTAGGCTGTTAATAACAAATTACCTTCACAAGGCAGTGGTTTTAAAGAAAAGCTTCTGCCTCACATTTTTCTTCCCTTACGTGGCTCTCCTCCCCTTAGCTGTGACAGAAAAATGCTGGTGTTGCCCCTGTTTGTAGCATCACCAGTTATAGGGTTCAGTGAAACATTTCATGGTGAAGAGTGTGATGTTTTCACAAGCTTTGGCCTGAGGAGGAGGACACTTATTTTCTTCTGACATTTCATTGACCAGAGGAAGTCCCATGGTCACAGTTGATTTAAACAGGCTGGGAACACATAATCCTGCCTTCGGGAAGGGACACTGTAAAGAAAGACTGCAAGTACTTTGAACACTAATATAATTGACCACAGTGGGTGGATTAATAGCTATGCATATGTAAGTTTTATAAAACAGTTGCCCACAATTTCAAATTTATTGACACAAGCTTGTTTCTCCCAACTTCTCTCTTTTTTTCAAACCTGAAAAGTAATTATCTAGAGAAAGGAGCAAACTTTCTTCAAGTCTAAAGAGGCTTATTTGAAGATATAAGGTATCTGTCCAGTTAGGTAAAAGCTTTTCCGGGTGAGGTTTGTTATTGTAGGAAGATAAGTTGTTAGCATTTCTCTTTCATCTTCAGCACAGCTCTAACTATCACAGAGGGGAACAATAAGCTAAAAAGTACACACTTGGTTTGCCTTTGATGTAAAACTTATGCTCTTGGTATTTTTGGTATTAGGATTCTAAAAAAATACATTCTTCTAAGACTGACGTTATTATGGAGAAGGTACTGAGGAAACTGCAACGGTTCAAGGCTATGACTGCTAGTGTTTAGGAAATCTTACCGTTTTTTAAAAACCCCAAGGAATACACGAGAAGATTAATTTTTCAAGAATGTTGATTTTCATATTTTATATTGGTCAGCTTTCCAAGTTTTGAGACAAAAACAAAGCTAAAACCATGACACCTGCAACTTAAAAGAGGGGGGGGTTTATTTTGGCTTATGGTTCAGGAGGTTTCAGTGCATGGTCAGCTGGCTCCAAGGTAGAACCATAGGGACAGAAGGGGGTGGTAGAGGAAAACTGCACAACTATAGCAACCAAGGAGATAGAGCAAGCCGGGGGGTGGGGGAGCGGACAGAGAAAGAAAGAGAGAGAGACAAACACACGCACACACAGATAGAGACAGAGACAGAGACAGAGACAGAGACAGAGACAGAGACAGAGAGAGAGACAGAGAGAGAGACAGAGAAAGAGAGAGAGCATTCAAAGGCACACCCTCAATGACCTACTTCATCCATTGGGCCTTACCTCCTAATGGCACGTTCAGCTATGAATTTATTAGTGGATTAATCCACTGGGAGTGCAGCACAGTCATAGCAACCACCTTCAAAATCCCCATTTCTGAGCACATAAACATTTTTGGGTAACGTTTTAGACAAAGCCATTGCACAATTATATGTGAATTAGGTGTATAAAGAAACAGTGTAGAGAAGAGATTGTAGTAGTTTCCAGAAGCTCATCTAAAAAACCAGTGTGCAATATTTCAGTTTAAAGTTACAAAGAATCCACTTTGTTTACTTGCGATTTTCTTGTTATTGGTGAAGAAAATTTCCTAGGATTTTGTGAGGAATATTAGTGTCTAATAAATTACAGTGTATGTCAATATATTTAATAATCTAGAAGAAATAGGCAAGTTTCTAGACACATACATCTTACTAAAATTAAATAACAAGAAATAGAAAATATGGATAGACTAGTAGCAAGCAATAAGACCAGATCAGGTATAAAAAGTTTCCTATCAAAGAAAAGCCCAGATGGCTCCACTGTGGAATTCTGCCAAATAGTGAAAGAATACCTAATAACAATTCTCCTTAACTCACTCCACAGCGTAGAAGAAAATCTTTCAATGTGTTCTAATACCAAACCAAATAAGAACATGACAACAAAAAAAAAATTGTAGCTTAATATTCTTGGCTATGCATGTATAGTTCAATGGCACATTGGAAATGTTGACCATAATGGTCAGGTGGAATTCATCTCAAGGATACAAGAATGGTTTAACATATGAAATAAGTAAATGTGATGTAGCATAGCAACCCAGTGTAGGACAAAACCATATGATCGTTTCAATAGAAGCAATAAAACATTTGATAAATTTCAACATTACTTCATGATAAGTATTCTGAATATCTTCAGTATGAAAAAATGTACTTCATATAATTGAAGGCTATTTATAATAAATAAACAGTTAACATTATCCTGAATGAGAGAAAGTTTAAAGCTTTCTCTTTAAGTTCTAGAACAAGACAAACATACCCACCTTAATCAACTGAAAGATGTAGATGGAACAGTGACACAAGAGAAAGAAATAAATGGTGTCCAAGTTGGAAAAGAAATAAAAATATCACTATTTGCAAATGACATGATTTTATATACAGAAAATCCAAAAGACCCCACCAAAATTATGAAAATTAATAAATAAATTAGACAAAGTCACAGAAAATAAAATCAGTGTATAAAAATTAGTAGCATGGTTATATGCCAATAATGAATTATCTTAAATAGAAATTAAGAAAGTAATCTTATTTACAAGATAAATACCTTGGAATAAATTTAATCAAAGATTTACTATGATGATTATACAACACTGTTAAAAGTAATTGAAGAGGAAAAAACACACATAGAAAAATGGAAAAAATCTCTTATGATAGATTCAATTTAGTATGTATCCAAATACCTACATTCTTCATAGAACTAAGAAACAAACAATTCTAAAATTTGCATGAAACCTCAAAAATCTCCAGATACATATCTAAGTCATTTTGAACAAATAGAACAAAGCAAGAGATATTCATTACACTATCCATCTGACTTCAAAACACATCACAAATCTGCATTTATCAAAATAGCATAGTGTTGGCATGAATACAGACACACAAGTCAATAGACAGCCTAGAAGTACACTCACATATATATAGCTGATTGTTAACAAAGGTATATAAGGACACATATTGAAGAATAATATTTTCAATAAATAATACTCAGAGAATTGGATATCCATGTGCAGATGAATGAAACTGATTTTTACCTGTTGCAAAAGTCAAATAAAAATGAATCAAAGACTTAAACAGAAGAGCACATCATGTAGCTACTAGGAGAAGACACAGGCAAAATACTGCAGAATCTTCGAACAGACAAAGATTGGAAATAAGTTACAGAACTGGAGAAAATATTTGTAAATTATATATATATATATATATATATATACATATATAAAATAACTCAGTGTAAAACAGTTGAGCAATAGACTAAATAGACATTTCTCAAAAGAAGACATACAAATGACCAATAGTTATAGGAAGAAACACTCAACATAGTTATTAGAGAAATGCAAATGAAAACCACTGCAGAATATTGGTTCATCACTGTAAGAATGGCTATTGTTAAAAAAGTCTAAAGCATGCTGGAGAGGATGTGGGGGAAAGAAAATTTTTGTACATTATTTAAATTAGTTTAGTCACTGTAGAAATCAATATAGAGTTTCCTAAAAAAGTTAAGAATAAAACTACCCTATGGTCTAATTATCCCAGCAGTGGGATTATATTCAAGGAAGTGAAGTCAGTATGTTGAGAGACATCTGCATGCCATGATCACTGCAGCACGAGATCACTAGATTGCCAAGAAGTGGAACAATTGCCAAAAATGGAACAACCAAGGTGTCCATCAAGGGATGCATGGGTACTATGCAATATTATTCAGAGAGTAAAAAGGCTGAAATCCTGTCATTTGATACAATATGGTTGGAACTGGAGATTGTTATTTGAAGGGAAACAAGCAAGTATTGTGTGAGCTCACTCATTTATACAATAATAAAGAAGTTGATCTCATAGAATTTAGAAACAACCAGAGCCTGGGGAAAGAAGAGGGAAGGAGGCTTGGAGAAAGGCTGGTCAGTGGATGCTGAGCTGCAGTTAGACAGAAGGAAGATGTGGTGTGTTATTGCAGTGGCATGACGATAGCTAGCACTCCACCCTCTGCCTCCTAGGGATTCCTACCTGTTCTGTACATAAAATGTACCTACATATTCATCCAACTCCAATGTCCCTAAAAGTCTCATCCCATGACAGCATCAGTAATCCAAGATCTCACACCACCCAGATCAGTAAGGATGGAGTCGATGGACATGTTCTACGTTCCTGAGGCTCTGTGACACTATTTAGTCAACAGCTTCCATCCTACCATGGTGTAAGAGAACAGGAGAGTAGTTATTACCAATTTGTTTCAAAAACAGGCAGGAATGTAAAACGGAAAGGAGCCAGTGGTTCCAGACAGTTCTGAGATGCAGCTGGGAGACGAAGTTTCGGGCCTGGGCAAAGTTCTTTGTGGTCCAGCGCTTCTGGCTCCACACCTTCCACCTACTTCCTGTCAGTAGAATCGTGGGGCTGAGCAACATTTCACTTTGTAATCTCTTTCCTTCTTAGACCATGCAGTCAGCATTATGCAGCTGTAGAAAACTCCGATGACACAAGACTTTACGCCATTCAGGATGTCCCCAGGTGCAGGTTATTTTTAGGTAATCCTTTCTCTCGCTTTGGCTGCTGCCTCAATGGCTGTGCCTCAGTGCTCTGAAGCTTTGCGTGTCCTGCCTGATTTCACTGAGGAGTGTTGTGAAGCTGAATATTCTCATCTTATGATCTCTCTGAGATTTTGGGAAGGGGTTGCCAATCTTTGGCTTTTTCTCTGTGCTGAAATTTCAGAAGCATTTCTTTCTTTCTTTCTTTTTTTTTTGGTACCAGGAATTGAACTCACGACCTTGCGCTTGCCAGGAAGGTGCTGTGCTGCTGAGCTATAGCCCTGGCCCTCAGAAGCATTTCTTAACAGAAATAAAGCATTTCTTAACCCTGCTAGCAGGGTAGGCAGAGAGTTCCTCAAATCATCAAGTTCTACTGCCTATTTGTTGAACAGTTCTGCATCAGTTTATCTCCTTTCACTTTTTGCCAGAAGCAGCAAGGTAAAGTCAGGTAGCATCTTAAACACTTTGCTTGGGAATCTCCTCAGCTAAATACATAAGTTTCTTATATACACGTCCTGCTTTCCACATAAATTCAGGATAAACTTTTGTTAAGTATTCTGCTACTATGGTATATAATCCTGTTTCCTCAGTTTTCAGTAAGATATTCCGGGCTTCCTTCTGAGGTCCCCAAGCAGTGCATTTATCACCCACAGTTCAACTGTGATTGTCCAGGCCATCTAGGCTTCCTCTGCCCTAAACTCCCTAAAGTTTTTCTGAAACTTTTGCCAGCTTCTGTCCACTGTCCAAGTCTGGAGATGTGCTCCTACTTTGTGTGCTTGTTGTGATCCCCCACTGCCAGCCCTAAAATCTCAGTTAGATTCCTATTGTTTTGTATGATATCCCCACAAATGAAGTAGCTTAAAGCAACACAAATGTAAGATTTCACTTTTCAGTAGGTCCCAAGGCCAGCACGATGGGTTTTGTGCCCAGGGTCTCCTAAAGCTGAAACGAAGGTGTGGGCTGGAGAGGCTCCCTTACCGGAGGATCTGGACCGGAAGCTGCTCCTAAGCTCTGGGCAAGCTGCGGGCGGAAGTAGTTCCCTGTGGTTGTAGGCCTGAGGTCTTGTTCCCTGCTTCTCACCTGAAGCCTGCTCTGTGCTCTTGCTCAGGTTTTCTCCTTCATCTTCGAATCGGCAATGTCTGGTGAATCCTTTCAGACTTTGAACCTGCCGATGTCCTCTTTTGTCTTCCTCATCTGCTTTTAAAGGGCTCAGATCTTAGACCACCTTTCTTTCCCAAGTCATCTTTGTATCTTACCTGACATAGGACTTTGATTACATCCAAAAGAATTCCTTCAAAGTGGGATCTAGGTTTTGATTAAATAAACTCAGTGCTTGAGGCTTGGTTAAATAAACAGAGTGGAAATTTTTTTGTTAGGAGGAAGCGATTTTTTGATTTCTTTCTGCTACAACTATTATTAGAGAATTTACTTAAATATATCAATTTGAAAGCAAGATGTATATTTATTTCTATTTCATGCAGTGTTTTACATCTATATTAAACTTATCCATTATTTTACATTTCTACATACAGTTCTCTTATTACTGGTAAATATTTTCACACATCTCTCTGGACATTTAATTGCCACTCCTTAAATTACTTAAGGAACAATTACTGCCTTATAGATAGGTTTCCTTGAGTTTGTCTCTTATACTGTGTTCAATGACTTCAAAGTTTTGGCATAAGTATAGACCTCTATGATTTTCTGATACACATGTGTTATTTTAGCATAAGGAAATACAAAGCTTCAAATTAGCTCAAATTAGCACAAATTAAAAATCTTACTTGGTAAGATCTTAAAGTTTAATAATAATTTCAAAAGTATTAGTTTTTATGTCGGAGGTGTCTGATTTGGTTATGATTCTCCAGCTAGGATGCCAGAAAGCAGAGAAGGGACTCCTCATGCTCCTCACCCGGCAGGATGACCACCTAAGTGGGGAGTGAATTTGGTGTGTCCTGTCTATAGGCTGGTGGGTATGCACTGTAGTATGATTTTCACAAATGACCGTGAGAAAGGAAATTTATTATTTTTATTCTGGGTTGAGTAGCACAATTTGGAGAACTGTAGCAGGAGTTTTCTTTCCGGGTGTTTGAATTCTTCTTAGCAACATTTGTAAGAGTGGACTATAACATATTTGTAAAAAGAATAAATTTATAAGGGAGTTCCTAACTTTTATACATCATTTTGTCTCCTGATAGGGAGAAATTTTGGTATCACTTTAGTGGATCAAATACAGACTTGGAAACTGCTCCTTTTTAGATGATTATTTAATTCTGATAACAAACTTCTTAAAGCTTGGCTGTGTGCAGCCCTGTGGCTCGGCAGCAAACATACTGACCTGTTTTTTAATTTTCTCCTCAATATTTATGTCTTTCAGGGAAGAGAGGCTCTGAAGATGCAACAAAGATGAGGTGGCCATTCCTAGAATGAGGACCTCCTGTGATAGCAGAAAGAGCTCAGTCCAGGTGCCAGGATGTTCTGGGGAAACCGGAACGGACCATAGCACTTGGCTTCCATCTAGCAGAGCGAGGAACTGTGCCCTGAAACTCATCACCGGGTTTTGCATTACTATTATTACTCTTCTGGAATTTCCCTGTTTGGAAGATTGTTATATTCTGTGTTCTAAAAAAAGAAAACACCAACTCTAACAATTTAACATGCTTATACTAATAATTATAAAACAACCAGGATGAGATTTATGTTATAACTTAAGAAAAGTTAATGATGAGTAGAGAGAATATAGTTCTATGCTTTGTTATTTCTATTATAAAAACAAAGAAAAACAAAATAAAATAGGAGCCATACAATCAACTCACTTTCTTATAGAATAATTTATTACATTGTGTTTCTTTGCTTTGAAACATCATAAATGCATCTACTTTTAAAACTCAGAAGGGCTTATTACTTCACCCGGCAACAATCCCAATTGACAATAATATTGTCAATTTAATAAAATTAGAATGATGTGTATAATAAAGTGTTTTTCTATTTCAAGATAAAATATCTTTTTTATCCAAAATATCCCTTATAGATAATGTTTACCTTACAGGTCTTGGGCTCCCTCCTTACCCCGCTGTTAGTATCTACTTGTGGTTCATGGATAATTCAGTATCTTAAACTACACCTATTAAATGCAAAAAGTTTGATTTTTTTTGAGTAAGATAGAGATTTTATGTATCATTTCAAGTATATGTGTTAATTACCCAAAGAGTTGAAAAGAAATATCTGTTCTGATGCTCTAAACACCACTGGGAAGGTGGGAGAGAGTGGAGGGTGGAGGGAAGCTGTGATTGCACTCACTGGACTTGATCACAGAATTTGATGAAATGGTCATAACAGGAACAATGCACAAGTGGTCCCGGGCAGTGTTTTTACAATTCATCGAGGCCTTTCTGAAGATGTCGGTGCTGATTCAGTAGTGGAGTGGGATGTGAGACGGTGTGTGAGCAGCTAGACTGGAGAAGCCTCTGGTCAGGAAGTTTCCTGACCCCAGCGCTAGCAGGAGCTGTGGATTCCCTGCCGCCGTACATTAGAATCACTCATAAGCTAAGTCAAATTACTCCGTTACAATAGACTGCAGCTGAGAAAACAAAACATGCACCACACTATTTAAATGAAAACCCAGCACATATAGGGGATGTTTGGCTTCGCAGAGCCTCAGAAATGTTATTGTTTCTGTCCTTTCATAATTCTGCTATTGAGTTCCTCTGTATAAGCACATCTTGGGAATAGTGGCTGAGGTAAGAAAAATAAGCCATTAAGGTTTTCCCTGCTTGAGTTGGAGGCTGGAAAGCTAACTTTCTTCTCAGGGATGGAGGATTTCAGGGAACAGAGCTGTGAGCGTTGGTCCTAACTTCACGTAGCCCATCCCCTAAAGGTGAGTTCCCATTGCAGCCCTTTGGACACCAGGATTACTCCTCTTTCCCACGTGGGCACAAGGGTGTCACTTTTAATTCTGATTTATCAGTGACAGAATTTCTCTCCTTCACTCAAATTAATGTAGATCAGCGTTTTTAATAGCAAATAACAGAACAGGGGTCTGGGTGAATGAAACAGAAGACCTGAGGTCACTTGGAAGTGTAATGGGACTCTCAGGGCTGTCAGAGATCTGAAGGACCAGACCGGAGGCAGTGTCCAGAGCAAGGCCCAAGCCGCGCTGCAGACCCTGAACGCGGCTGCCGCGGGCACCTCTGCTGCCGCCCGGTGTGCGAGTTCCCCGCTCCCGCTGTCACCAGGGACACAGCACCGAGGCCACTTGGTGCGTGCAGGTTGGACGCGCTCCCACCTCCACCCCCGGCAGGGAGAGGATGCTGTCTGTTTTCATATTCCACGCTAGGATCTCCAACTGGAGCACGTGGTAGAGTTTCAGGGCTGCTCCTGTCTGTGGGCGATATTTTCTACCTGGGCAAGGGAGGAGCTAAGTGGTGGGAAATTCTTCAATTTAGCCAGGGCACTGGAACCATCCCGGGGCAGCAGGGAGATACATCAACCACCTATTACCTTTCATGGAGTCCTTTGGTCATTCATGTTGCTATAGACAGGATCAATTTTATTCCTTTCAATAAGGATTTGTTTGTTTCTGCTGTGTTATTAAGATGTCACTGCGGTGAAATTATTGGATATGTGAGGGTTCACAATTTGTTAGAAAACATTTTACACAAATTATTCTAATCAACATTGTGAACTATACTGGCCTGACCTACATACAGACCAGGAGACTTTCAGTGTTGCAGTGTGCAGCATACAAAGCAGAAAAAAAGCAGTGCACCCTAGGAGGGCTCATTTGCCATGACCTGATCAGGTACTGCGAACCTGCCGATGTGTAGCTGGTGCTGTAGTATGTGTGTTACCGTCTCTTACCAATGTCATATAAACTCTCCAGGGCAACTATTTTTCTATCTTTTAATTTTTGAATTTTTCAAAGTATCCAACATATAACTGGACATGTAATAAATGTCCAAATACTTTTTGTTATTTTGAGTAATGTATCGTTAGAATACCCCTCATATAACCAATCATACTATCTAGCTAATACTTTAGAAGAACATACAATTTCAAATGAATGTGCTACTTGACCATTCTAATCAATCGTAATTAATAATTGTTAGGTTGGCAATTAATTGCAGACTTCTGCAATTATCAAGAGAGTAAGCTTTGCTAGTTTAAGTATACCTGGGACAAGATGTAAAAATAAATGTAAAAATTGACATTCACAGTTGTCCTGATATAAATTGTTCTGTTCTTTGTTATTATATATTATTATTATTGTATTACTATTCTATACTTGAAGAGCATCTCTCTCCTACCAGTTTCAGGAAATGACTACACATTTATGATTACAGGATGATAATGTTTCATCAGCTTCATGTCAATATTTGAGAAGTCCATAAGTTAGGAAGACAGTTATATATCTGAGAAGACAAAGTCAGAAGCTCAGGAGAAAAAAAAAACCGCATACACAAAACAATACAACATGCAAGGAATAGAAACCCCCTGGAGATACTTCAGCAAAAAAAGGGATTATTAAAGGGATACACAGTAGTACGTAAGTGGCAAACTAGAATCTATGACTGCAAGTCGATCAAGAATCCAGTAATTACTTTGAAGATAGTGACATACAGTGTTATTAGCTATTGTTATTTTCTTATTACTTTGCTATGGAATTTTGTTTTTATTTAAAAAAAAAGAAGAATCCAGTGAGTCAGTTCTGTCTCTCATCTCCGCCTCTTTGGATGTCTACACAAGAACCTGGCAGTGTAGTTACAGTTTAAAGGTTTCCATGTTGACCAAGTGCTGGTTCATACTGAGAGTAGCTCTTGCCCTCCAGGACACCCTGTTTCTTCAGGTCAGAGATGTGCAGTCCAGGTGTGACTTCCTACTGTCACATTTTAAAACTTATCCTGCATCAGCCCTGCCTGTCCTCAGCACACCTCAGAAAACAACCTCCTCCCCACCTGTCTCCGACTTTGGTTGTCCTGTGGAGCTAACCACGCCTCGGGGTGCCATTTCCCCGTGAGGGTCGCCTTCTCTCTACTTACAGTGCACTTTGATGGTTTAGCACCTTTGCCAATAATGAGAGATTCAAGCCTTCATTTCTTAAACTTTCCCCCTCAAAATTTACTTTTCACAAAATAACGCATCCACTTACTTTTTGCTCTTGAGGCACTGAACTAATTTCAAAAGCTATATTTCATTCATTTAAAAATGAATCGCAGAAGTAATGTATGTTAATTTTTTAAAAGAAAAGCAAAGAATCTGAATGCATCTAAAGAATATTCTAATCATTCTTCACCAAACCATCCCACCCATGGCCATACCTTGAGGTCATTCGTGATAATAGCAGGGTGTATCTTTAACATTTTTCTTCACACTCATCAAAACATGTACATTCACGTAAGTTTTTTTCCTTTTAATATTTTTCCCTCCTTAAAATATCAAGTAAGTAGATATAGTTCTAGTTAAGGTTTTTAAACTGCAGAGTATTCCACTGAAAGTGTATACTGTACTACACCATAATAAAACATTCTTCTTATATGACTATTCAGCTGGCTTCTAAATGTTTTTATAATTAAACATAGTGTTGAAATCTTTATGTAAACATGTTCACACATTGTGGTATTTCTTTTGTGTTTGTTTTTTTCTGGTACCAGGAATTGAGCTTACAACCTTGCACTTGCCAGGCAGGCACTGTGCCGCTGAGCTAAATCCCCAGCCCCTTTTGTGGTATTTCTAGTAGAGCACTCCACTTGATCTTAGCCAAAAGGCCGAGAAGCAGTTCTAATAGAGCGCTCAATATGGAAGGTGTGCTATTGGTAGCAATTATTGAACTCCTCTCGCCCCGTCTCCCCAAGGAAATGATATGTCCTCGCTGTGGGCATGGTGTTAATGAAAGTTACAGACATAAGGCTGTTTACAGTACTGAGACCCACAGATAGAGAAGCTAACAGAAGTTGGGACAGAGACCTGAGTACGCAGAAACAAGCCCTAGGAAAACTGGAACACCAGGGAAAGAGGCTCGCTGAAGTCGCCCTGGGAAGCTGAAGTGCAGAGGACGTCTGTTCTCACAATGTCAGAGGCCTGGGTAAAGATGGCAACTGCGTTGTTTCAAAATGCAGTGAACGGGGTCAGTTATGTACCCCACGAAGTCTGCTCTCCTGACTGAGGCCTCGTTAAAGATGGCAGCTATATTGTTTCCTTTTCATGAAGCCATCAAAGTACCTCACTAAAGACAGCAAATAAACCCCTGAACTTGGTGCCTCGGTGCCGTTCTTCCTTGGAGCCCCTCCTGGCTAGTGAGAGCTGTTTGTTGCTCCCCCTCATAAACTACACTTGGTTCATTCTCCACTGCTGTATCTGCCAACTTCTTGCTTGCAAAAGCAACTTGTGAACTTGCCTGTTCACTGTGTGGATTTTGGATTTCTGGCTTCTATAATTGTGAGCTGATTCTTAAGTCTCTTATTCATATGTTTGCACATGCTACTAGTTCTGTTTCTTTGAAGAAGCTGACGAATAGGCAAGTCCTGTCATTTTGGATTTCATACCATCATTGATTATGCAAAGAAAAGCAGTTGTAACTGAGAAATAATATTTCCATTTCAGAACAGGATGCTGTCCCCACCCCCCAGTCAGTCCATCAGTGTAGAGGTTTCGTCAGTGGTTGATGTAGGCTTCAGTTTTGTGGTTAAATGATCCTAATATCACACGGGCTGAACATCCCCTGAGAGGTGGCTACCTTTACCGGTGTTCATGGTGGAGGCTGAGTTAGCTGTTTCTCTCTGTTTTCCCACAACCTGCAGTTTTGTGTAGCCCTTATTCTGCGCTAGCCTCAGCTTTAGGAGAATCTGCCCACTTTTGCTTCTTGGAACTGGGGACTTCTCAGCACCTTTTGGTCTTCTTCCAGTGGCAGCCAAACTTTATGCCCTGTAGCTTTAGGGCAGAGGGATCCCAAAGTAGAATTTTCTTTTTCTTCCTTAATGTATGCAAACATCTGCTCAATATCAGCTTTGGCTCCTGAGCCCAGCAGATTTCCATGCCCGCTTCAGCTTTTGTTTTTACTCTTCCTTCAGAAGCAGTCAGTTTTTGCCCTGTTCTTTGGGTGGGAG